TTCCCTACGCTGCCCGCTCCTGTTCACAGGAGGAGAGCACAGAAAGGGGGACAGATCATGGAAGATTTCTTTTTCCAGGAAAAAGAACAGAAAAAAAAATCTACCTCTGCAGTGGTAAGCACAGAAATGGGTATTTTGCAATAGACAAACTTTGCAAGGCAGAGCTAACTCGGATTTCCTCTGTTAAAGCTGACAAGTTGGCTCTAAGTACTCATAAAATATGTGAAAACCTGCAAATTTGAGCAGCAACCACCTTGAAAAATGTTAGGAAGAAAGAATGGAGGAGACGAGAGGGAGGGAGGTCTAAGTTAGCAGGGAGCAGAAGCTCTAACTCATTCCTCACAACACACAGCTTCCACTGCAGCTTCTACACCCAGCAGCTGCAACCCGACTTACTGATGCAAGACTGAAAATTAATGCTACATTTCCTGAGGGAAACGCACTGATTCCCAGCTTGCAGTATTACTTGCTCAACCATCTCTAGCTGCAATTTACAGAGCTGATGTCACTGCAGGTAAAGCCTCCTTTTTGGAAAATATTTCCCCCAAAGCAGGTGAGCACTGAGGACTGAACAGGAGGGTAATGTCAGCAGCTTTGCCTTAAAGACTTAGCCACAGTGCTATGAAAATGGTCCATAACTCTTAACAGCTACTTAAGGTCAAGGAGACTGCACCATTTTCACTCCCTAATATCTGTTTTGAAGATCTAGTTACATTTTATATCACAATTTACTTAAAGCTCCCCAAGAACACATCACAATGTATTTGCTATTTAAGACAACACACAGAAATTAACATTAAAACTCAGCTCTACTAATAGACACAGAACTAACACTATTATCAAGTCACTGCTATGGAAATCACATTTATAAGCTTCCATTAAATTATTTACAGAGCACCTTTAAACTAAGCCTTCTAAATAAAAGTGCGGTCAAAAAAGAAATCTCGCCTCAAGGGCCATCTACACCAGTGATCTTTTGTTTGCCAGGAACTTCTGTTCTGACACATTCTGCATAAGAGGGTGGAAATCAGCAGCTGCAAGCTCAGCGCAGTATGCAAAAGGGCACAGAGATCTGGATGCAGATATAACTACATTAGATGCATAACTTAACTTCTTATTACACAGCAGTCTCATTAAAAGGCACTCACTGCACCAAGGGACTGCTTAAAGTTTCCAAATCTGGTTCAGAAGCGGAATAGACTGCAGGCACCCCCAGAGGTTTAAAATTAAATATGTAAACACTTTTCAGCTGCAGATGTTCCCAAACTACATACAGAAAATGTACAAATATGGACTTCTATTGCATTTTTACTACTAACACCTCATATTACCATTCCCTTTTCCCTGTGCGCAGGCACCTTCCCACGTCACCAGAGGTACATTGGGCCCAGGCAGAAGGGAACACACAGCACCCGAGCCGAACCGCCCGCAGCGCGACCGTGATGACCAACACCTGGAGGCTGCTCCAGGAGCAGCCAGCGGCCGTGCCGGGACGCGGAGCCGCAGGCGCCCGGGTGGGCTCCCAGCAGCATCTGCCGGCGGCGCCTCGGCACTGCAACGCGGCACCGCGGGCAGCGGAAAGCACCGCCGCGCGCCCGCGGATGCGTGGCTTAACAAAGAAAGCAGGAACACTGTGTTGTAAACAGCTACTAATATCTAGGCTGAATTATTAGCTCGCTGCTATTTTAATACTGGCACCATTCTTCTGTTCTGAGCAGTTAAGGGTGCTATCTGTTAACCAGTGCTCGCAGCAGGGCCAAAATACTTGCAGTATGTCAGACCGAGATGCAATATTTACACTTAGGCTTTCTTAAAAATAATCCATATGTCATTTCATTTAAAACCAACACACTAAGCAAAAGAAAAGGTAGAAAGTAATTTCAGCAAGACTAGGAAACCTACATGGAAAATAATATCCTCACCCGTTTATTGTTGATTTTACCACTTGGTAACCCAGTTGCTTTGAACTCAGTGTGAATACAATTTTAGTTTTGCAGAAAGTCACACACCTGTTGGTTTGGGTTTTTGTTTGCTTCCTTTCTCTCCACATATATGAAACACGTAAAGTTTAAGGTCTGTGTGCCTTGCTCTGCTCCTCCCAGGGTCTCTTTGAGGCTGTCCGTTGTCGCCGATGCGAGAGCGTCCGGCTCCGTCTCCCAAGGCAGGTGAGACACAAATTCGAGGGGTGCAGGTTTCCCAAGACGTCCTTCTCTGTAGTGCATTGTGCTAGTGCATTCAACCAGTGTGTCAGTATTCAACCATATAAGCTTGGGGTGGTTTTTTTTTTTTTTTTTTAATCTTTACTACACAATACAGAAATATATATTTTACATGTAGCTTTGCATGCCTTATGGCTGCTTGCCCTACTATAGGACAGTGCAATAAATACAAATATATGCACACTAGAAAAGATTTGAACTGCCATGATCTACATCTGGTTTATGAGTACAAATTTATCTAGTCAACAATATGACAAATTTAGCAGAAAAAGTGGCAATGGCAGTAATAGTCTACTACAAAAACAAGGCTAGAAGCAAAGTGTTCTCAAGCTACAGAAAATTTGCTACCTTCTAATATAATGATGTAGGGCCCAAACCTGCAAAGTGCAGAGTTGTGATCAGTAGATTGCATCAGATCATGCTTTTCCCCCATTTAACAATGAATACTTCTACAATTTATTTAGCTTTGATAACTGTTTATAAATAACACACTAGAATGACTATTAAACTATACAGCAACATGACATTTATAGCCTAATCTTGAATACAAAGTTCAAAGAACATGACTACAAAGGCCCAAGAGCAAATGTCATCAACTAAAAGCATTTCCACTTCAGAAGTTCCTTTTATTGAATATTCGCTTACACAAACATGTCTTGATCATGAAACCAAAGGAACAGGATTCCCTATTCCCACTCTGTTCCAGTAGTAATTTATCCACACACCACCCTTATAAATTAGTGATGGATTTAAACAGCTAGCCCCTTGGGGCTATATATTTTATATATTTTATATATATGCACATTTACTTTGAAATCTATGTAAAAGTTGAAAAAATGTTTGAAAGAAAAACTCAGAATATATCACAGCTTTTTCAGCGAAAAAAATACAAATTAGTTCTATAACCACTATTCAATTTATCAAACTCTTTTTTTTTTCTGAAGTATTTACTTTTAATTATGTACACATTACAGGAAATAAAACTTTTTCCACAAACATTCTCTAAGGTGACAGTTTTCAACAGAATGACAGAATAATAGCAGGAAGAATATTAAACATATGGGGGGTGATCCATTTCTGCTTTTAAAAAGTAAAAAGTCACCATATAATTAAGTACAAAAACCTGCATTGAATGAGAACTGCTGGTGTAGTAACTTGATCAGGTATGGAGACCAAGAGTATAGTAAAGCCCTATGGTAATAATATTTCTGTAGCATTTCCACTTGGTACATATATACTAAATGTTGGCAAAGTTTCTGTAGCATTAGCTTATACAAACATAGTCCTCAGTCTGCTGCATAAAATGGAACAAGGGTGTTTTAATTCTCCCAAAATGCACCTGAAATTCAGAGTGTCACTTACAAACTGCATTAACGAAACTCTTCTTCAGAAAAATATCTGTTTGGCGTCTCCAGGACTCTGTTCCATCGGACAATAGGGGCATTTCAACCTGGGGACAAAGGGGACACGTTAGGAGGGTGCCCATGCCGCAGCCCCGAGCCCGCGCACTCCGGGCACTCTGGTCCCTATTATAGCTGTATCTCATCCGCAGGGAACATCCTTCCCCTTCCCCCTGTGGCGTGAAATGAAGACACCCTCAAGCACCTACCGCTCTACCTGGCACCCTTAAAAGATGCTCTTTGGCTTAAAGAGACCCTGACCACGCGTCTTTTTCCACAATTATGTTCTTTTTTAGCTTTCACTCACATACCGCTGAATTATTAAATACCGAGAAATTAGTTTCCATACTTAACCTATTATTTATCCCTGGGGTTTAGCTTGTTGAGCTGCTGTTCATTTTAAACAAGGCAGTAGCTTTCACTCGGGCTCCATTAACATCCAGTCACTTCTACTCACTTGTTCCCAAAATGCTGCAGCTCTGCAACCCGCTTGGGTCTCACCGGCAGGAGCTGATCCAGCGGGGACCAGTCCGGCCTCCAATGTCCTTCCCACCTATTCCTTCTCCTTACTTGAGATCTTTCTTCTGCACGTGATCCCTTTTCCACCCCACCTGCATAGTTTGGGTCTCCTAACTCTTGCAGTCAAGTCTGCCAAGGCTGGGCAGTGACTGAAGCTGCCCAATGAAAGCACCAGGAATGAACGGCCCAGGAGAGGAATAACATCATGGTAAACAGCCAGGAGGTTTATACTGTTCAAAAGCAGCATAAGTTACCCGTCGAAACATTTATTTAGGCTTTTTCTAATGGGGCAGATGATGTAATCACTCAACATTTTTTCCCCGTCATCATTTATTCCCCCTTGGATTTCATAAAACAAAAAACCTTTATGTTTCTAAATTAAGCTGGCAACCTCCACAGATGTTGCATACATTCAGTGCAAAGCAGGAGTGGTTCTTCCTGAAAGAAACCTATGCAGCTCTTTCCCGTGCATTTCTCCTTCTCAAAGGCCTGTAGGCACCCATGGATATCTAAGTGAGGAGTATTTCCACCACGATAATTCAGCTACTAGCTCTGCTCTTAGTCCTGCTTCCCCAGAGGTTTATTTACTTGCTTGTTTGCTTTTTTTAAGGAGAAGTTTCAAGCATTATGAACCATATTCCCAATGGAAAAAAAATCACGCAAAAACCTCCACTGTGAATTGTGAAAACAGTGCTTACAACTCAAAATTACTCTGCTCCTTGAAACGTCACTTTTGATGAAATGGGAGGGTTTATCACGCCATTCTCCAGCACACCAACCCTACCATCTGTCTTCAAAGTCACTCTCTAGGATTAAACAGCTTGAAAAACCAATTGTGTAATTACAGATTCAGCTTCCCCCAAACACAGTTTTCCAGGCTTAAGAGTTGTCCTTGCCTATACTTTCCTTGGAACACAAGAAAGATACTTACTTGCTGCCATTAAACATTTTATTCAAAGCATCTCTTGATATAATGTGACCGCAGACTAATTTCATAGGTGGATTATTATCTGTTGTTTGCTGACGAAGAATGGGGCAGGCAAATATTGAATGATACCAGCACTTTTTACCAAGGTCCACTTCAATCTGTGAAGAAAAAGAAAGATAACCATTTATCTTGTGAAACTACATTTCCAGACACTTATCCCTCTGGGTCATTGCCCTTGCTTAAGGATTTCACAATTCAGCTGCGAAGACAAGAAAATCCATTGTGTTGATGTCTGCCAGTTTCCAGCCAAAAATACTTAATTGTGATTTTAAAATGGTAATTTCTGTTGCTTCTCCCCACCCCCACAAAGCAGTGGGTCCTGTCAAGAGACAAATGCAAATTGTAGGGCAGATTTGTGCTCTGCCAAAAACCTGAGCCGAGGGGCCAGCGAGACTTTCCGTATTTCCTAGCCAGTGATTTCCAGAGTGGACTAGGGGGTTTAGATGATAGAGGGCATCCCTTAAAAAACAAACCCCCAAAGCCCTACAACCCAGATAGATAATGTTCTGTGGACTCTGGAAAGACTCTCTCAACACCTACAAGTCATGTCAATAATAACAATGATGTGTATCTGAATCATTTCTTTTCAGTAATAATAATGATGTGTATCTGAATCATTTCTTTTCAGTACCAACACAGAAAACACTGGCACAGCAAAAACACCATCAGTAATCAGGACTGCACGATTTTAAAAAGAGACTTCTGGCAAGGAAAATAATGGGTCTGGTTTCAGGAAAGGGTTGAGAACTGCAAAACTCACAGTTCCCACACCTGAAGGTCTGATCAGGCTTCAGGTGTGACAGCTCTAACCTCTTTGGGCTACTCAATCTCTGTGTCTTTGTACACAGGATGAAAATAGGTCTTCCCATCCCCGTACGCACTAGGGACTGTTAAGCTTAGAATATGCAAGAAGCCATGCAAATACTAAGAACTGAAGAGCATTTGATAGCAAGTCCTCCCTAAAGATTTCCTAGTAAATGCTTCAACACCACCACAGGAACCAGTCACATTCACATATAAAGCACTTGCTACTACTCTACTACAAAAAAAGCTGAATGAATCATGACATATGCATTGCAGTTATGTATAGATCTCTTCCAAACACAGCAGTAACTCGGTTTGTGCCCAGTTTGACTCTTGTTTTCTTTCCAAATCAGAAGCAGAGCACTGGAGAGGCACACACACCTGGTAAGAGCCATAGGAGAAACCTGGATTTCACCATGAGTTTTCCTGGGAACACACTGAATCCCAATTCAGTTCTTATGTCCCCAGCTACAGCACAACGTTTACTCACCTCCTATCTGCCGAAAAAAGCAGCAGTGCAAAACAACCTGCAGGCAGAGCTCAAGCCTAGTCAAAGGAGGTTAACGTTTCTGAGCAAGATGCATTCCCTTTCCAGTGATATAGGGACATCTTTAACACGTTCAGCAGAAAAGAAACTTGAAAGCAACATTCACTGTTAAAAACGTGCCCTGCAGTAGCTCAGCATCAACTCACCGGGAGCTCGTCCTTCTGGTTCCAAACCCCCGTGCACTGTCGCTGCTCTATCACAGCCTTGATATTAATTAGAGCTGGTAACGCTACGCAACCTGCTGAAAAGCTGCAAAACAGGGAAACGTCAGCCCAAGGTACCTGTTAGGGAACAAGCACTTCCCATGTTTCTACTTTAAAGGTTATGCGGGATACAGGAGTGTTGGACCACTTCACTCTGTCCTTGTCTGTACTTCTACACTGCCAGTAGGGCTGAACAAATTCATTGCCCCCTTCAGTATAACAAATAAAGCGTTTTGGGGCAGATTATCAATTATATAGAGGCCTTAAACCTACCTCTTGGGTTAGGAAAACAGCAAACTGAAATGATTATTTGCTGCCTCATAGACAGGGTCCCTGAGCCATGACTTATGCAGTGCAACAAGAGATCTCCCACTGGCAGGGCACAGTAATGATCAGACCTCAAGCCTTGTCAGGGGTTAGAAACAGGGCAGAGAAACAGAGCAGACTTTAAGGAAAGATGTGAGGACTATCCATCCACGTTCTGGAAACCTATGCATCTTATATAGCAGGAGCTTCTCTTTAAGCTGGTTTAGTTTTTAAAGGATTGTCAGCATTCAAAGGTCACAATGGTTTAGAATGGCCCTATTTATACCAAAAACATCAATATGACTTAATAAATACATTGCAGTGCATCGCATTTCACATTGGGCCTGAATCAAGCATCCAACCAAACCAGGCACTGGAAGGATCTTCTCACTTAGCTGAAAATCTCTTGGCCAGCTGTGCTGAGATCTGCAGCTGTACAGTGTTAGTGCGTGGGCAGTTAAAATGTAAAGAGTGACTATTAATTTAATTGAGGCAGGAAAAAGAAAAAAATAAGAATCAGAGGTAAAAATTCTGGATATCTCTCAAACTGAAACTGGCAACATTTACTCCAGAAAGGCAGATTAATCTACGAGGGCTCCTTTTGTTGTTTCTGTTGTATTTTATAAAAAACAGTGATGCATATAGCATAAGCAGGAAGTTTGACAGTTTTAAAGAGCTATAAACTAAGCAGAGAACTCTAAGATTAGTATCACACAAATAGATAATCAAAAAAAGGTAGTGAAGCTTCTGCTAAGCCCTAAATCTAGCCCATGAAGAAACATCATTTATTTTCCATCTAATATCTAAAATGAAAATTAGAACATACCAGTGTATTTGCACACTCAGCATCCAAAGGCTAAATAGCAGTTAATCTACATTATCTTCAGGAAGGCCCGGAGATTAGAATGGATTTTTCCTCACATTTATAACAGCCTCCAACGGATTTGCATTTTGTCAGATTAGCTGCTGGCCTTGAAAGCACCTCTCTTTTTTTTTTTGCAAATGAGCTTCAGCAAACAATATGGAAATTTTAGAAGCTGAAATGACATTAAAACTATTGCTAAACATTCTTCTAAGGAGGAGAGAGATAATGTGGATAATGTATGGATTGAAAACGAAGATGTCTGCTGACAGAATCACGGTTGAAGTTTTAGATTTTAGATGTTAAACAGCAAGGGCAGTTTTCACCCCAATGTAGCAGCAAACGGTTGATTGCCATCCTCATCTTTTGTACTGATGTCTAAACTGCAGAAGCCAAATGCTTTCTCTGGAACTTAGCGGGTGTAGGACACGGCACAGCACCCTGGAACCCAAATTGCTCAGCTTTGCAGATCTCACTAGAGGTCAGAGCAACCATATTCTTGCTGGACAAGGCTACTTCTCACAAGCTTTCCCTTCAGTGGGAAAGAGAAGCCAAAACACCACGTGCCTGCTTCTAAAAGTGACAAAAAGGAGCCTACCTAACGCTGAGGGGTGACTCCACGGAGAGCCCCAGGAGGGCACAGGCGTCTCTCGTGAAGATGTCACAGATGTCGGCCCACTGGTTGGCGTCTAATAGATGAACGTAGGGAGAGTTCTCTATCCCCTGCCGCAGGTACACGAGGCTGCCCATCAAAACCTGAATGTCTGCGAGGGACGAGGGACACTCGGTAGTTAGTTTAGACTACAAACAAAAGCCAGCTTCTACATTTTGTGTGGAAAACTAGCAGAAGTGTATCACACCCCAAAGCGATAACACATATCCTTGCCCCCCTGCAAGTACCTGCAGGTTGCCTATTAACTTGCTTTAAAAAGCTAATTATTTTCAATCGTCTATAGGCTCTGAGATACAGCCTTTTTAAAATAAACAACACCCATCACAGAAAAGAAAAAAAAAAAAGTGCATCTTCCCTTCCAGCAGATGGCAAGATACAGAAAAAGACTAAATGAAGCATTATAGACCAGTTCTAAAGTAGCATTTTTGTACCTCCTGACAGACACAGTACACTAAGAACTAGGCTGTACTGGGGTGGTTTGCTTAACTCGCAAATTCCCACTTCTGAAAAGTTTCATTTCTCTCTGCATGACCCCCACACAGCAGAAAACAGCAGATGTCTACTCCCAAAATATTTCTGTCAATTTTTGACACTTTATCCTGGCAGCAAGACTATGGTAGCTGCGATCTAAAGGATTGAAGACACCTTAAAAATCAAGCAAACTTGCAGTTAAATTAAAATATAACTTTTTGCATCCTCTTTAAAAGAAAGGGGTTAATTCAAATTTTAAGGATTTGAAATATATTTGGTAAATCTATAAATACGAAGCCTGATGAAATGGGAAGAATGGATGAGACAAACACGCAGTTTGAATGTGATTTATATTTTACTACCACATGTTACGTCTGGACGCTTTATTCCTCTTAAAGCGAGCCAGCACTCACCTTTCTGATGATTTAGGGCAAAGGGCTGGAAGTTTTTCGCATACTGAAGTGCTTCCCTTTGATTCGCAGTGCCGCCCATCAATAAACTAATGAAATATAATCTGTGCAGCTTAAACTCCAAGGAGCTGTTCTGTGCCATAAGCATTTCCCTGTTGGATACGGCCCACCTGGAAGAAACGAGGAGGTACAAAGGGACATGAGAGGAGGATCAAGCGTCAGCCTGTGCAACGGGAGAGCGTCACAGTTACACGACATGCACTTGGAGGAGGATCGTGTTGGGATGGGATTGTGCCCTGGGCCTGCATTGCTCCCTAAGGAATACAGGAAGGGACAAGACTCCTTAGAGGTGGCTGAGCTTCCTGGGATGCGGAACACAGGAAGGACGGGGCTTGTGGAGCTGCTGCGTGGCCTGCAAACACACACAGCAGAATCCAGCACCCAAGGACAGGGAGGCAGCACTGAATTAAGAGCTGTATAAACCACTGAGAGTCAGAATCTGGTTGCTGCATTTGGGTTAATATCAGACTGCTGACAGCACCTTCAGCCATTATACAGTGTCCTCAGCCAAGAGGCTACACAGGATTGATCCCGGCTTTTAGAACAGTTTTCAACTTCCTCATTCCCCAAATATTCTTTCCTAAGCCTCGGGGTTTGTGCACGTGCGCAGGTTGCCCTGGAGCAGGCGAGTACATCTAGAAAGGCCCCAAAGGAAAATGCTATCGAGACCTTATGCTGGACAGGGTGGGGAGGAAAACCAGATGAAATCCCATGCTTTGCCCTGCTACAACGTTGCCTTCTGCCTTATTTTCAACTTGGGCAATGAAAATAGTTCTCACTTTCTGGGTCCCATTCACCATGACAACGCTAGCGTTAGGCTTCCAAAAAGCACACAAGGATAATTAAGCTTGCACCAAGCAAAACCCACAGGAATTTTTAAAACACTTCACGCAAATGTTTATATTATTTACACCTTATTCATCTGTCTTTTTCCTTTTACATTAAATACACTCAGGCCTACATCCATGCAATCCTTTTCTTTTAGGAACCGCAAGTTCCAGTGTTCTTCAGCCACATCTGTTTCTCCTCAGCAATAATTAGTTCAACTCTTTCCACTGTAGGGGCCCCATTAAGCAAAGAGGAGCTTTTCACTTTTCGCAAGGAAGTGAGTTGGGTCTCCACCTCTTAAAAAGAAGGGGTAAGTGAAACTTCTGTCCTTTTCTGCTCGATGCTAAGATGAGGAATTTAGTGTTCTTACAACACTGGTTTTGGAAGTTACCCCTCTGCGGTAAGAGGTACCGTCAAGCAAGCAAGTTTCTGTTTCCAGTTTGCTGCAGTGAAAGCAGCAGGAGTTTGGCCTCACTGGTGAGGCTTTGTAATGAAGAGAAAGGGAGAAACTCGCAGGTTTGGGGCTACAAACAAGTTCTGATGTGCCTAATTTCAAGCAGTTTCAGATTAGTAGACCCAGAAGACTTCACCACTGTTATCTCCACCAGGAGGGAGGTCGTACTCCCTAATCTCATATTTTTGTGACAGTGGCCATGGCTTAAACCTGGCTTACTTGCAGCAAAGCTCCCTCCTAGAAGGAGGGCCTGCAGTTAGCAGCCACAGAGCAGTAAGAGGTTGAACAAAAAACCATTGTCAGGAAACAAAAAGACTAATATTACTTTGAGGTTGAAGTCCCACAGTCCCGTTGAGGAGATATGGATCTACAGCGTCAACAGGGAGGCATCAGAAGCGCCTGCGTCCTCTCCCTGCCAACATCTACGGGCTCGTGACTGCATGGCAGGGCACTTATCTGGCTGAGACTGAGTCTATTTTTCCAAATTAGCTTTTAGCCAGACTTTCCCTTTTTAGCTCTTTGAGTGGCAGCACAGATTGTATCAGAAGAAACCAACCACAGGACCAAGGCTTCAGGTGTTTGGTCTGGGACGTTCTGTTCCCGTTCAAAAGATTCCCAGCAGAAAGGCAAAAAGCAACAAACGATGTTTAACTACCCTAATGCTCAACCTAAATAATACTCTGCCACAGTCCAGAGACACTAATAATCACCCCACCTGTCTTGCTAACTCCTTTACAAGAGGTTCTTCCTGAACTTTTGCATTTTCACAACTCCAATCCGTATGAATTCCTAGAGTATATCAGTCAAGAATCACAGAACTCCTCTAGCTCCCATGCAGGACTAATTGAAATTAGTTTCACAAAGCCTAACACAGATTAGATAACGTTTAAATCATGTCTCAGAGGTCTCAGCAAATACCAGGGTACAGACACAGGAAGGAGACATTGACTTCTCATAGGAGATTACCATCAAAAGCTTTAAATTTGCACGTCATTCCCACCATACCTTCACCCAGAGACCCACCCGGGCTCACAAGAGCCAGAATCCACCCACAAAGAACCTATGGATTTCCCTCCCTCCTTGCCAAATCCCAGTGAGAAGAGTCACCAGAAATTAATGGGATGCTGAGGATGTACAGAAATCTGTACAGCACTGTACATCTGCTTTGGGTGCAGACCTCAAAGTAAAGCTGACCCACATACAAAAAAGAAAAGCATTATGGCCCATTGCATACGGCCTAATTTTAATCCTGGGGTGTAGTATTTTGTAAGTGTTGGAATTCGTATTCTCAAGGAAATCTGAAAATTCTGGGTTTTGTTTAATCTGGCACTAATAAGAATTTCTCTGCATCGCCATTTCCAGGACAAATGCAGGGTACTGAAAGTCTTTCTGACAAACCCTTAATCTGACAATTCCTTTTAGGAGGCCATGACTAGGAGATACCTGCAGCACTTGCTTTGCTCCCAGCGAGTTTAACCTGGAATCAACTACAAAGAGCTGGCAGAGCCGGAGATACCGGTTCCTATTTTCACCCCAACCCTTCTCAGTTTTGCATAGGCAAACCCTGCCGCGCTTCCCTTCCTGCTTCACGACGCTGGAGTTATTAATTCCTGCACAGCACCTGCTTTCCCCTTGACATCACTGTCAGCAACACAGCCACGGAACGAGTCCGTTTGGGGCTGCTTTTCAGTACCCTGAAGCTATGTTTAGTGATGGCAGCTTTGCCTGTTTATTAGCTTTTCACCCACACAGCACGAAACCGTCCTTCCGAGCTCTTCTCATAGAGATGCTGCCCCGTCTGGAGCTGGTTCTGTGGTTTCTATCCTTCCTCCTGAACAGCCGTGTTTGCTGTGAAATAACATGGAAACAAATTCATAGGCACCAGCAACTCCAAGGAGTAACTGGGCGTTCTAAGACACTGCTTTCTGCCTCTGCGGCTGTAGGAATTCTGTTGCATTTTGATTGTTGGCGTTAGCATCATGTTTTTTACATAAGCACCTACAGGTCAGCGTACAGAAGGACCTTCTGTACTTTTCTGGACACAAAGAGAAGCGTTTGCACTGAAGAGCTGCATTATAGGAGGACATGAGACAGGCTGGGGGAGGGAGCCCAGCGTACAAACCGTGCTCACAATACACTCTATTCTCTGCCCATTCGGCTGCCACTGGAATAAAGGTTCCTTTGGAGAAGGACCACGGCTTCTCCTTTGTTTGAAAAGCATTTAGCACCATGTAGGAACTGTAAGAAAGAGCTAATTAGCAGGCAGTAGGGCCTAGCCAGTGAGAGCTGCAAGGAATTTAGTGACTTGAAGTGGACAGGCATTGATAACAGCAAGTTACCATTTGAGAGAGAGCCCCCTTCACAAAGCTGTTGTTTGAACTAAAAGACACAAGGGATGTAAATGACAACAAATCCTGCTTCAGTTGTAGTATGTAGGGCATGACAAAGTTGCTTCCCTTCAATTACCCAATTCTGTGGCAATGCACCACCTGAGCTTTCCACCTGTGTAATTATAGTCAAAGACTAACTATTTAGGTCACATTTTGCATGATCCAGAGGCCTTCTCCAGGACTCGGTTTATGAAGACCAGCGCTCGTAGATCAGGGCATCACTGCGTTTAGTTTAGATGTCAATGACCTCTGAATTGATGTGCCCATTTTTGCTCACATTAAAAAGAAAAAAAAAAGTCAATATGAAAATGTATTTAGCTGAATAATGCAAAGAAGATATTTCAAATGTTGGAATGATGCTAATGGTGTAACGAAGCACAACAAAACTTTGGATTCACTTTGTTTCATTCCTTCTGCTTCTGAAAGGCCACTAAAAAGGTATTTTGCTACTCTTTTATTTTTATCTTATTTGCAAGACCAAGCTAAGCTTATTGAACACCATGCAAACTAAAACAAATAGTGTCTGGGTTTTTTTTTTTTTTTTTTTTTTTTTTTTTTTTTTTAGTTTCTGAACTAAATGCTGTTCTGATATGGTACAGCACAGTTAGGTACCCATGACTGGAAGCTATAGAAAACAGTGATCCACAGAGTTTTTCAGCACCTTTCCTTGTTCACTGCTACTCCTAGCTCCAGCCCACACATCTAATGGTTGTAGTCTCTTCATTTCAAGACAACTTCCTAGCCCTAAAGTTGATGACTGTGCCTCAGCTAGCTCCAGATACAGCTTTTGTCTAAGCATTGGGTCTTACCTGCTGACTCTTGTACTGATTGAACCGTTTTGTGTAGGAAAGATCTCGCAATCAGATCTCCCTCTCAGTGCAGACTCCTAAGCAGAGCCCATGAGGAGAGTCTCCTACTTGGGAAAGGGCTGCTCCCTTGATCCAAAGTTCTTCATCATCTACCTGTCCCCTTCAGCCTGCAAAGTACCTACCCTTCCATCCCCTTCTCCCACCCTGTGGTCTCTTGGCTGAGGAAAACTAACCTGTGCTCTCTAACCTGAGGAAAAAGCAAAACTTTGATTCTGATGCAAGTTCTGATCAACCCCTGGGCTCAGAGAGGTCAAAGAGAGTTGATGAAACCCAATGCCTTTAGTGAACCCTGTTATCCTTCAGCATTGGATCTTTTTACAACATATTCAGCAGTGTTTCACTATAACCTGGGTGAAGCATCATCAAGGCAGACAGCTCTTTAAGGGATGTTTCTTCCTGAAATCTCATATTACCATCACAAATGTGTTAAGCTAACTCTTCATCCCAGAAAAAGACCCTTAGTTTCAAACTCCCCACAGGGAAGGCCACATGAGAGGGACAATAGGAGGAAAAACAGGGTTCACTCAGTAACTAGTTCTCTCAAAGTACAAATGAGGATACATCAAAACATACAAAAGACAATATTTAAAGTGAAAAACTAAGGATTTATTAAAAGTATTCCAAAAAAACTGAGTAGACTCACTCTAGTGCAGGTCTCAGAACTCTAACTTTTAATGCTTCCAATATTCGATTTAACTCCACAAACGGTTCTTTTTGACTTTGATCTATTGATAGACCAGATTCCTGAAAAAACAAAGTTTAGTGTTTTAGAAAGACAAAGAGCATTTGGGGCTTACATTGATTTTTTTTTTCTGACAGATTAAATTTCCACGCAGAATGTTAACATTCAAACAAAGCTACTAATACACAGCACAATCTCCAGGTTTTGATAACATGAAAAATCGACACTTAAGAGTTACCTGACAAAGCTCCTCGGCCACATCCAACATTCCCTGCCGGAAAAAGTGCTCCACCATCACCTCGTTGAGGATGCGCTGGCTGTCGGCCTGCCAGCACCCATCTATCCCCACGCTGCTGATGTCAGAGTCAAAGTTCTGAAATGCACAAATTAACATTTAATAGGCTGGAACAAATAACCCCACGGAGTTTTTCTTTAATTATGCAGGATGCCTATGTCTCCAGCCTGGTGCTTTCTGCCTGTTACTGAGTTTGCCCTCAATTACCTCCTGCTCCAAGTGAAATATATCTGCCAGCTGCTTCATTATCTCCTGTGTACAGAGGAAGAAATTTTGGGGCTTGTTCATTTCCAATCTGAATATCATCCACTGTAAGGAATTACACTGACAAATTACAAGCCTGGCGAGCAAATCAGAAATCTAGTTAACTAATAAAGGGATTTCCAGACCATGATACATTTTCAAAGAAGTTGCTGCAGAAAAGGCTTTTTTTTTTCCCCCATATGTGAAAACTGAAAAGCATAAAGAGCAGAAAGCAAGATCGCCTACACTAGAATCAAACTAGTGCTATCAATGCATCACTGTCACTAGTGAGGACAGAATTAGCAGCAAATGACTTAACTGGAGACTTTTTGACATAGCTAGTGGGTAAGCCAATGCTGGGGAAAAATAGAAACACGAAGCAAAGGAGAGGGAGAATGTCACCACCATCCTCCCTTCAAAAGACAATGAGAAACCAACACTTTGAAGACCTCAACACAACGAGTTTTGAACATCTGAGAGATCTTTTCCAGATCTAAAACACGATAATCCTGTGCAGGGTATCAGTAAAAATATTGTCACAGTGATGCTTTAGTAACACTTGGCACTAAACATTCTTGGCAGCAGGAGAGCAACATTTATTCTAACCCAAGCCATAAACCAGGATTTTAGCGACTAATGTTTACAGATCAGGGAAAGGCAAGTTAGTTTGGATAAAAAACCTTGTTTGGAAATATTGTCCTTTGTGACAATAAGAGTGAGGTTTGAAAGGCAACACACTGCTTGCTGCACAACCTGATCACTACAGACCTCTTCCAGGAAGGAAATCTGGAAATTTGGTGAAATAAGCAGAGCTTCAGTGGTGGTTCTGTGATGATTGAGAGTTCTGCGCAATATGGGAACATCTACCCCACACAAACACCCACTTCTGGCCAAGCAGCCAGAGCAGACAGCAGTTTTATCAGCTCTCTGCCCAGCACAGTGCTGAAGGGGCAGAAGAACCAACCCCAGCGCAGCAGTGCGAGGTGGCTAGTCTACATCAGGGTACATTTGAAGAGCTGCCACGGGTTTCCATGAGATCAACACTTGACATCACGGTTGTGGCATCTCAGACCTGTAGTAAGAGCTCAAAGAGTCAGATTTTGTTTTGTCAAAACACAGACCAGGCAACAGACACTTGCAGAGCAACACTGCCAGAAACATTCAGGAGCCTCCTATTAACCAACTCAGAAGCACAGTCAAGTTTGATGGATATTCTTACATTAAAATGGTAGAGGACAACATCAGGGCAGCTTTCCTCCTCCAGGACACGTGGATATCATGTCTATTTTTGCTGAAAGGATAGAGGAAAAATTCCTCTTGTAAAGTGCACACACAGAGATCCACCAAGAGAATCCCAGAGGGGTCAGTATGTTGCTTTCTTACTCATCCTTTGGGAGCATGAGCTGGTGACAGTTCTCAGCAGGTTCACGTGTCTGTACTTGAGCTGACCCACACCTATAACCTGCTCATCGAGCTTCCAGGCCAGCGGGCCCTTTGAGCAGACAGCGAATATCTAACCCATGTTGGGATGGCAACCTCAAGGACTGACCTGCTGCCTTTTTGGGCCAGCTGGAAGGGATCAAAAGAGCCCAAAGTTCTGTATATGGGACACGTGCCTCAACACACACACACACGAAGAGCCCAAACTGGTTAGCTCTGTATATAGGACACGTGCCTCAACACACACACACACACACACACCTTCAAATCTCTTACAAAGCCTTTGTGAGGTGCTAACCTTAGGCTAAGCAAATTGTCCTTTCCACCCTTCAGAGATGGTAGGGCAAGACAAGCATTTACATTATTGCCATTCACGACTCAAAACTCACATTTAACAAAATTTGCACTTAGGTACCTTAACCTGTAAACTCCTTGCCATGCTGCTTGTCCCTTAGCCATATCTTGAAGAACCTCAGCAGCCTGAAGACATAATAACGATGTTCTTTCTGCCAACCCTTTGAAACCTTTAGGGTTATCCACCTTTGGGGATTCTGGTATCCCTTTCCAAACAACAATAACAGATAACAAACCCACAGACAACATATGAAAGAACCAAAGGTAGAATGAAGAATGGTCAGAGTCTTCTGTTGTTACTCAAATTCATGAGCGGGGACATTGCTAATCTAAAAATATTCAACTTTAAGCTGTTCTTCATGCAGTTTCCCCTCTCAGGGCATGCATACCTTAGAGGAAGACTCTGTACTTTGGGCAGCTATCAACCATCACAGCTGAATCTAGGCCTTCTTCACATCCTTCTGTTCATCACTTGGGGACAGAAATGGCAGATCTACCTCTGTTCCTTTACAAAATCCAGAATTTGGCAGCAGTAGGACTCCAAAGGAGCAGAGAGAAGAGGATGGGCCATGAATCCACAGGACAACATGCCATGGAGAACTGCAGGATGTTACTGCGTCAAGAGTTGCCAAAAGCCAAAGCAGGTTCCCCCACTGTGAGCAACTGCTACCACTTCACAGCCTTGGAACAGAACCATCCAGTACTGATATTAAAGGATGATCATTTTCATTTAGAGGAGAAATGATACAAAAAAAACTACGAGAACAAGCACAAAGCTGAAAGGTTCCACTACAAAGAAAGCAAATAAGAGCCCTGTTTTGGTGACATAGGGGCTAAGGAGGTTCAGGGTAGAGGAATACACTTTGTTCTCCAAGCAGTGGATTTCTGGGAAGAGAGAATTTTATGCAGAGCAGAAGTAAATGCAAACAGATGGCCAAAAAAAAAAAAAAAAAATCAAACCTACCAAGCATTCACTTGCAAGAGGTCTAATTCAAGTCAAGTGTGGCCAAACACAAACAGGCACTACAACAGTCACAGTCGAGTTGAAGTCTTGAACCTTTTATCAGGTTGTATATCTCTGCTTATTTGTTTGTTTTGTATCCTGTATTATATCAATGTTATTTTTAAGAAAAAAAAAATCTCCAAAATAACACTTGAGGTAAAACTACTTCAAGTCTTGTTTTGAGTTCAAAATCTCTCTGTAGGAAAATCTTTAATTTCTTTTAACTCCGTAATTATCAACCTAGATATGCTGTAGCTTTAAGTCATAAATGACATAATAGGATCTGGTGACCTCCTGAAGTCATTCTGTTTTCTTCCTCCCCCACCTGCTCTTTGATCAATACAGTCTTGACCTGGTTCTCGTTTCTATAACATTGCTTTTTTCCAAACATACAAGTGATTTCCGAGTTCTCTTCTATAAGTGGGATTCTGAAACTCCGGGCCCTGAAGAGTTTCAAGAACTGACTACACGAGTCACGGACAGCGACTGCCGCATGCCAGAACAGACACTGCCTCCCATTTGCCGATATATTTTGCAGTTGTTTTGCAAGTATTACACGTTGGTGACCACACGTTGCTCCGTGTTGCTCTCCAAATGCTAACAGCACGCTCAACGGCACAGGGCTGTGACGTTCAATAAGATTTCAGCGTTGAAACAAATGTCAGAAACTCCAAAAGGTTTATTTTGTACTTCTCAGGTTTTAAGCTTACAAGAATGTCACTCCTTACTCCAGAGAAATAAGTTTTAAGGACTTAACTAGTAAAACTAGGACTAAAATATGCACGATTATGTGTTAAACACAGCAATGATAAATAGTAAGTGTGCTATAAAGCACATTACTGATATTTGCTGAAGTGTGCAAAGGGCTTCAAAGCACATGCATGTGACCTTTCATGTTATTAGCAATAACACTATATGAAGAAGAAAGATGAGTAAGGACAGTTTTATTCCTCAGTTTCCCTGCTGAGATTATTTGGTGCACTCCTCCTCTCTTCACCCCCTGAATTCTGACTTGAAACAGAAATAAAACACGTCCGTTTACCTCTTCTGTTCAGTTTTTCAGTTCACGACATAAAGCTGTAAAGACTATAGGTATCGAGCCCTATTTTTAAACAGCAGCATAACAAATGTGTCCTCCTTTCTTCACCCCCTGAATTCTGACTTGAAACAGAAATAAAACACGTCTGTTTACCTCCTCTGTTCAGTTTTTCAGTTCATGACACAAAGCTGGAGCTGTAAAGACTATAGGTATCGAGCCCTATTTTTAAACAGCAGCATAATTAAAAGTCATCAATGTAGGTTCAATAAAGATTTTGAGTTTGTTCATATATAAGTTTTCCATGTAACAAACACAGAAAGGAGCTAGGATTTATCCCACACATTTTCCTGAATGAAGGCATTTAATCTATATAGATGCTACTAGAGTGCTTACCAGCCCTATCAAACACCCTTTGAGGGGAACTCAAATCATTCCAGAAGTGGTTTACAGGGAGACTGCCCACAGTGAGCTACACGACAGCAACTTGCTGAACGACAGGGACACAATTAATTCTGGAAGCAGATGCTAGTAATGCAAATAAATAAATGGATGCACATTTCCTTTCAAAGCAGCAAATGTTCTTTGGGAGAAAGGATAATCTTCACTGCTAGAATCTGTGTACTACATGTAGAATTCCTATTAAAAAACACAATTTAGCTTATTAGACAAACTTTCCAGAAATTGCTAATTAAAATGTAATAAAGTTGTGGCATTTTGGATTCTAACATAGCTGGTAATATTTGATGTCAAATGTAAACTTAATTTCACTTCTCAGACTGAACTCTACAGGCAGACAAATCTAGGTGCTATCCAAGCTCATGAAGTTGGTTTTTCTGTGTCTGAGCATACGTGACTAAGGGCACTGTAATGTCAGTCTAGAGATGTAAATCCACCTGTAAAACACATGAGAGCAGCACTGGAATGGGGATTTATACAGGCCAGAAAAAACTCAAATCCCGCGAGTTGGAGCAAGGGCTGATTCGCCATATTTTCATGGGCACTGTATTTGGAAAGCAAGAATACTTAATTCAGAACATGTCTGGAGGACCCTGAAAATCAATTCACTACATCAAATACACTTAATTACCTCTATTGGTTTAAACTTAAGTAAATTATTGGGAGGAATGGGGGAAGAGTTCCTTCAACAGGCTAGGGGACTCAGACAACAAAGGCTTTGCTGGGGAATTTTAAGCATATTTATCAGCAGCAGGGGTGCAAGGATTAAATGCATATGGAAGACTTCCGTCAAATGTCCCTGTCCAAGGAAGTGTTATGTCCCATCTGGATTTAAACATTCCATGTATTGATCCAACAAACAGGCTGAGACGCCAGGATATATTTTAAAGTACCTTAGGATACTACAGTGAGAAAAAACAGCAACATTCGAACAATTCACTTTACTAAAATAGGCCCCCAAAAGTTCATACTTAAGCAGACGATTCTAACTGAGGTCAAACAGACTGAGAGAAATGCTGGTGTCTTCAACCCCACAGCGAAACCAGCAGTAATGAAGGGTGCTCTGAACTTCGTAAGTGAGCCCTTCATTACCAGCAGGAAAAGCTGCACCCAACTGACCTAGAGATTTGGTTACCAGGCTCAAGCCTAAGCTGTCCGGACTTGGAAAGCATTGGGTTTTCTGGCTTTTACAAAAAATTTCCAACAATTTGCCATTTAATATTCATGCTGTCCATACATGGCTTAGCGCTGCTCTATCAGAACATACAAACAAAAAAGATTTGGCTAAACCTGAAAAGCCATTTGTATGAAGTCCACTTGCTAAGGAAGAATAGGAAAGTTTCAAACTTAGGACACGATTATATAGATTTATTTCAGGCTTCAGGCCAGTAATGAGGATGGAATTTTACTCTAGTTAATTGGTTTAGATGCACCAGCAAGGATTAGACAGATGCATCCTTAAGCTTTGGATAACAGGGAGGCTTGGATTACAGCTGTTAGTACAAAGTCTGAGCCTTCCATGACGGCCAGCCATAGATAGAAGCAAAAATATCCTAACAGTTGCACAGATATTCTGCCCAATATTGCAGTGTACTTTATTAGTCCACTGTGCTACTGTTAAATTACACTTACATAAATTTTGTTAGTAATGGCAATCTATTTAGGACACTCAAAGGATGCATTGGTACTCTCTAACACTACACGTCTTTGCATAAGTGCAAAGTCACATTCACTAGTTTCTTTGTTGGTCAAATTATAAATGGGACCTCAGCCAGACCATGTTAACACCCTGTCAGTCTAAGCAGGTCCTGGTATGAAAGTATCACACAAAAATGCCCCCCCATTTCCCTCAAAATAAGCTCAGGGCCCCTTGCACACAGAACTATTATTTAAAGTGAAAAAAGAACACAGCACAACATGGAGTCACTTGGATGGTGCAGGAGGAGCGGGACTTGAATGAATGTCTCATGTGGGAAGCTCCAAGGATAATGCTGCTTCACTGCAACATTGTTTGTTATGGCACAGAGATAGATGTTGTGACATGTTGGACTTACTCTGTTCCCATTAGGAATACTCTGTGTCTTGCAAAATTATGCTCTAAAACTGGCACACCTGAACTATTATGGAAAAAAAATGCCTTTCTTTGAAAATTATCTCAATTTTTTAGATCATGTCCTGGATCAGATGCCACTTGTGGGTCATACGTTACCAACAATCAACTAGAAATGCAATGTATATACACAGAAATAACATTTCTTACCAAGACTGACAGAGAAGCAAACAGATCTGTTAAGGTGATAAAATACACACTCGGATCTACAGAGCATGCTCTCTCTAAATAGTAAACTGTCCCAAGCAAGAGTACCCTATATACAAGGAGCTCTGAAAGTTTTTTTATATATTTATTTACTTTTTACACTCACCTGTCTTGCCTCTGCCCCCACCCCTACTTTTCTGCAGTTGAGGGAAACTTGCATTAAAATTAAATATAGTACAATATTATTTCAGTACGTATCATAAAGCAAAGTACACTGCATAGAATACATGGAATAATACAGTCAAATCCAAACATAAATACCTTATCAATGGCTTTTCCAACCCGGGAAACACTGCTGTGAATGTCTTTGTGATCAGAGGCCAGTTTTTGAACTGTGTCTTTTATTCTTTTACAACACTGCGTCATAACAAGTGAAATTGTCCCTGACAAGTCTCCATCTTGATCTAGAGAAAAAGAGAGAAAAACAACAACCTTGGTTACAAACAAGTGATAACATTAGACCTCAGAATATGTGACAAAGTATAAAGATAAGGAATGGCATTAAAGGGAAAAAAGATGCAGTGCAAGAGCATCTTAAATGAAGTCAAACGTACGGGACATGGCTAACCCTATTAAGAAGCCAGTCTGGAACACAGAGAAAATGAAACAGTTTAAAAAAAAAAATAGAGAGAGAGATGCAAAGATCTCATGCATCTTCTACTTGAATGCAGCAGATTAATGATCAGACCTCAAAGAAATACTCCAGTGCACAGTCCTTACAGGATATAGGGATATGGTGGGGAGCAGCCTCTATCTCTAGGAAGATGCTTTAGGACATTGTATTTCAATGTGTTAAAGCAAGATTAGGATTAACAGCAGCCAGATTCTTCCTCACCCTACAAACTAACCATTTATATCCTAGCCTGTTTGCAGTAATGAGACATATAAAACTCTTGCTTCCTGACTTGAGGGAATACCCCTAAACAGTTTAGCCTGTCTCAAGTGCCCCTTGACAGCTCAGAAACAGCCCCCAAATGACCTGTCTGTAGCGCATGGAGAGCTTAGCTCAATATCCTCTCTTGTTATCTTAAAACTTACTCTCCAGAACTGATGGCATTTTAAAATTGTTTTCCACTTGTCATTGCTACATGCCCTGCTCTGTGGACAAAATAATAAATAAAAGGTTCACAAGCCCCTGACCACAAAATCTCCTTGTGTGACAATTTGCATCTTCAGGCCTCGGCTCAAACACCCCTCAAGGGCTTTAGCCAGAGAAAAATCACACTTTCCTGTGCATCATTTTAGTTCTTTCTCTTGTTTTTTTGTTTGTTTGTTTTTTTAAAAAAAAAAAAGAAAAAAACTTAAAAATACAAGGAGAACCTATTTTCCAGTCTTACCTCTGCAGACCTCTCCTTCCTCAACCTTTTTTTTTTTTTTTTCTTTACAGGAAGGATTTTTCCTTTCACCACATAGACTTAGGCTCTACACCAGAGGACAAATTTAAGTGGAAATCAGCCCAGAAACTCTTTCCAAACATTCCACATCCAAACTCTTTGCATGAAAACTTAAGACATGAAACCCCTCTTTAAAAGAAAGATTTAGAAAGCAGCCTGGTATCCCCTGCAGTGCAAAACACACACTGAGCTGCTGAGAGTAACAGAACCGAGCAGTAGTTTTAAAAAAAAAAAAAAGCAGAGTAAGGAATGTAAACAGTTTTAAACCTGCTCTTAAAAAAAAAAAAAAAAAAGCTGTAATCATAGCGGGTAGGTAATAATTTACCAGGCACTTGCTTTAAATCCCTCCTCGCGTTCACCCTAACTTCCCGCTTCGCTGCTGATGTCAACAGCACAACTAGGTCTCACTGTCACTGCCCCAAAACCAGCTCGGGCAGGAAGGTTGTTCGTTCCTCTTGTGTCTCCACAAGCTCCAGAGAAGGCAACTTCAACAGCACTTTGGCAAAAGCTATAGCTTTCAAGGAGGAAAAAAAAAAGGGGGGGGGGGAGAGAAAAAAAAAAGTCCTACATTTTCTACATTTCTTCCTAGAGGATAATTGAGGAGCAATTGAATTTAAACAGCCTCCTCAGTGAGTTGTCACTAATACAACCTATATTACAAATAAAAAGTCTCTAAGCTGTTATATAAGGGGGATTCCTAAATTATTTAAAGGATAAGCACTGTCTCTTTGTTACTATTTAAATAAGATAGAGATCTAAAGTCACATAAATTATTTTAAGCAAATGTCTGGCCAGATATTATGACTTCTGCCAAAACAGCATAACCACAGATTACACAACAAACAAAATCAAAATACTCTTTCCACTACTCCTTATTGCCCAATAACCAGAAACGTCAAAACAGCCTCTCTTAATGGTCATTTTGCCTGGAAAGCCATTAAACCTAATGGGTGACCAGCCAAACCTGGCCAACGAGCACGCACAGATACTTTTGCCAAGTGAGTAAGTAGATTATTCTCCCCCAGCACTTAATTTAGCAGAAACAACTACAACAAAACAATGAAAAGCTACTGGATTCCTAAAGGGAAGATTTTCCCCTCGCATGTATCTCTTTCAGCTTTATACTCACAAGTTACTTAGATCAGCATGAGAAAGGCACACACCATCTTTTCCACAATTCAGTGTTCACAGAACATTTCGAAAAGAACTTGAGAATTTTTAAGAGACTGTGTGAGCAGTGGGAAATAAAATAAAGTGTAGAAGTAAAAGCAGCTTCTAAAGGTTTCTTTTTCTCCACCCACTTCCTCTTCATATCCATTGCCATTTCAGGTCTTTGCAAACATCTTTGCTCTCACACCTTGTCCCACAGCATGATCATCTTCAGCAGTAAGTTTTCTTTTTTCTTTTTTTTTTTAAAAAAAAGAAGAAAATCTACATAGATGTATTTTAGCAGTTCAGGCCAGCCTTGAATTGTGAAGCTTCCTGTTAAGAGGTCTGGCTGCTTCCATTTCTCTCAGTTTTCTAAAATATTCGCGACATCCTACAGAATAACTAATAGCAAGTCCTTGGTCTTGTCAGAAAACTACAAACAACGAATTAAGGAAGGAAATGTTGATTCTGCCACCCCAAAGGAGGGTGTCTAAGCAGGGACACAGGTGACATGCGAGTCCCGTTCCAGAGCTGGGATGCATCCCACCGGGATGGCATCTTCACTGCTTGCACCAGCACTGGGAGCAAAACACGTCCAGGCCCTTCGCGGGACAGAGCCCGACGTGGCCAACGCAGCCGGGCAGGGGGACGCGGGAGCGTCCTGGGGCCCGGGCGCTTTTCCCAGCATTGTGAGGCACCGATCTCTGGATCGGGACAGGATTCCTGCGGGACGCCAGAGAGATCTGTAGCAGCACAAGGGCAGTCTGCCCCCCGCACGGGCTCGGGAAGCGGCTCCGCGGCGGCCACCCCTGTGACGGGGCCAACGCATGAGCCCAGCCTGGGCTGGGGGACGCGGCGCCACGGGGGCCGCGCGCGGAGATCCCAAATTCGGGCAAGTCACGGCAAAAATAAATCCAACGGGGGGAAACAAAGTAAACAAGCAGGTAGATCGCAAGGAATGGAAAAAAAACGAGAGTGGCCAGGGCCACCCGTCCTCGGCTCGGTGGCAAGGAGCAGGGGATGATGCTGCCGCCTCCTCCTCAGCAGCAGGCTGGGCTCTGACTTTTCCTCACCAAAACTGCCCTTATTCCCCCCTCAAAAAGGCACAGCAGGGTGGGGGGAGCACCAGGCCGGGAGGGAGGGGAACCAGAGAGAGGGGAAAGGAGAACTGGGAAGGGGAAGTGGGAGGGGGGAAGAAGAACGAGCAAGGAGAGAAGGGGAACCGGGAGAGGGGAAGGGAGCCGGGAGAGGGGAATACTGGGAAGGGGGGTTCCCAGGAGGGGTGAAGGGAGCCGGGAATGGGGGGTACCCGCAAGGGGGTTCCGGGCAGGGGGTGTCCCGGGCAGGGGCTCCCGGTGCCGCACGTACTCTCGCTCTGCAGGATCTCGCGGCGCAGCCCGCCCGCGTACTGGATGAGCTCCTCGAGGCTGCGCTCGCAGAGCTGCCCGTAGCCCGAGAACTTCTGCAGCACCTTCTCGAGCTCCCGCTCCACCGTCACGCACTGCTCCATAGCGGCGGCCGCCGGGCCGCGCTCCG